CGGCCGGGCGGAGCGGGGCTCCTGGAGGCGCGCGGGCGGCCTCAGTGACTGTGAAGTTCGGGGCGGGGGACGCGACGACTGTGTTGGCTCGAGGCGGTAGCGCTCACCCGAACTCGGTGCCCCGCGATGTCCGCCCAAGTTCTGGGATTTTTACGTAAGTGGAACCCTCTCCCCCTGGCAGCCACTCAGGGTGAGGAGCTGGGCAGACGAAGAGACCCACGGGGCTCTGGCTCATCCGTCGGGCCGGAACCCGAGGCTCCGAAGAGGAAAGCACCCAGGAAGAGACCCTTCGCCTCGGTGGGTGGGGGCTCTTTCCCAGGACGGGGACCCCCTTGGTGGCACCGGCCCTCGGCTCTTTGGATCTCCCGGAAAACCGGGTCCGCCGCACGCGCGGTTCACCGCGCGTGGCCCAGGGACCGAGCCGGCCGCCCGCTACCTCGGTGAGCCGCGGCCCCGGCCTCCGCCAGCGCGGTCTCTTCCTCTCTCTCAGATCCGGCAGCCGCAGAGAATGACGCGTGCGCCCCCACAGCCCCGGCCCGGGGCGGGGAGGGCGAGCCCTACAGCCGGCCCCGCGACGCCCGCCTGGGCAGCACCGATAAGGAGCTGAGGGCAGGAGCCACTGCCACGGGCAGCGCCCCGACAGCGCTGGGGACCCCCTGGCAGAGGGAGCCGGGGGTCGAGGTTATGGACCCAGGTTTGTGGGGCCTGGCGGGAAGGGCTGTGGGCGGGACCCCTCTCTCCCTCCGCCGGGAAGGATGGCCGGGGATCAGTTGTACGAAGGAGAGGGTCTGGGGACTCTGGGGAAACACTCTCCCACGCGACCGGAAGCGGCCGGCCCGGAGCCGAGTACGGGGCAGGTCGGCCCCCTGCTGCGCTCGGCGCCTCCCCGCCCCCGACCTACCCCCACCTTGGGCCGCTTCCTTGGCCAGGCTCCCAGTTGGGTCCATTACCCGGGTACTGCGGGCAGAGCCCTTGCTGTCGTCCTCAGCCCTCTGCTGGCCGGTTGGGGACGCGGTCTCTCCCGGTTTGTTTTCCCAGCAGGCGGCCCCCGGTGTTCCCCGGTCCAGCTCCCGCGTCCCTGCCGGGTGCTGGTGCTGCTGAACCCGCGCGGCGGCAAGGGCAAGGCCCTGCAGCTCTTCCGGAGCCACGTGCAGCCCCTGCTCGTCAAGGCCGAAGTGTTCTTCACGCTGTTGCTTACCGGTGAGGGCGTCCCCAGCGGCGGTGGGTGCGGGGAGGGAGGGCCCTGCGTGGGCTTGACAGCCGCGTCTCCCCGCAGAACGGCGGAACCACGCGCGGGAACTGGTGCGCCACGAGGAGCTGGGCCGCTGGGATGCACTGGTGGTCATGTCCGGGGACGGGCTGATGCACGAGGTGAGGCGGGCCCGCGAGGGCCCCACGGCGGGCAGGGCGAGGGTCTTCCCTGGCTGAGGCGCCCTCTACCCACAGGTGGTGAACGGGCTCATGGAGCGGCCGGATTGGGAGACCGCCATACGGAAGCCCCTGTGCAGCCTCCCTGCCGGCTCTGCCAACGCGCTGGCAGCCTCAGTGAACTATTATTCTGGGTGAGAGCTGAAGGCCAGTGTGGCCTCGGTTTTCCCTCTGTGCCACTCTATTGCCAGCTTCTCTTTTATGTTTGTTCCCGTCCAAAAAACCAAACCAAACCTGTTGCTGTGGAGTTGATTCCGACTCATGGCAACCCCACGTGTGTCAGAGCAGAACCAGGCTCTATAAAGTTTTCAGTGGCTGAGTTCTCAGAAGCAGATTGCCAGGCTTTTCTTCCAAAGTGCCTCTGGGTGGGTCGGAACTGCCAACCTTTAGGTTGTCAGCAGAGCACTTCACCGTTTGCCCTACCCAGGGACTCCTTCCCTGGTAACTTCCGTTCCCTTCTCCTGAGTCTCGGTTCCAGGCCCTCTCCTGGTGATCCCAGCTGTCTGTCTCCATCTGCCACTGTTCCCGCCAGCAGCCAAGGGTTGCGTTGCCTGCCCCAGTTCTCCAGAGGAGGAAGGGGAGGGACCGTGGGGCTCCCGCCCTGCCCCGTCAAGCTTTCCTCCTGCAGGTACCAGCAGGTGACTAACGAGGAACTCCTGACCAACTGTACACGGCTGCTGTGCCACGGGCAGCTGGCCCCCATGAACCTGCTGTCCCTGCAGACGGCCTCAGGGCTCCGCCTCTTCTCTGTGCTCAGCCTGGCCTGGGGCTTCGTGGCCGACGTGGACCTGGAGAGTGAGAAGTACCGGCGCCTGGGCGATATCCGATTCACCTTGGGCACCTTCCTGCGCCTGGCCTCCCTGCGCACCTACCAGGGCCAGCTGGCCTACCTTCCTGTTGGAGGGGCTGCCTCCAGGATGCCCAGCTCCCCCGCCCTGGACCAGGGGGGCCCGGTGAACACGCTTCTCGTGCCTCTGGACCAGCCGGTGCCCGCTCACTGGACCGTGGTGCCCGAGCAGGACTTCGTGCTGGTGCTGGTACTGCTGCACTCCCATCTGGGCAGTGACATGTTTACCGCCCCCATGGGCCGCTGTGCGGCCGGTGTCACGCACCTGTTCTACGTGCGGGCCGGCGTGTCCCGGGTCATGCTGCTGCGTCTCTTCCTGGCCATGGAGAAGGGCAGGCACATGGAGTACAACTGTCCCCACCTGGTGTACGTGCCTGTGGTCGCTTTCCGCCTGGAGCCCAAGGACGGGAGGGGCGTGTTTACCGTGGATGGGGAGCTGATGGTTAGTGAGGCTGTGCAAGGCCAGGTGCACCCAGACTGCTGCTGGATGGTCAGTGGGTGCGCAGAGCCCTCGTCCAGGCAGGGGCCTCCGCGGACGCCACCTCAGCCCTTGTGACTCTGGGGGCCTTGCTGTGCCTTAGTCTACTCTGTGGTCGACCAGGAGGCTGGGACCCCGTCTCCTTCCCTGGGACTGGAGGGCCTGGCTGCAGCTCACATGGGAAGAAGGAGGCCAAGTTTTGGAAGGACAGGCTGTGTCCACGAAGGCCAGAATGAGGCCAGGCCTGGAGTCCAGCTGGCTGGGCCCAGCTGCAGTGGAAGCCGCTCCATCTTGTTCGGGAGCCCTGCCTCATGAATCAAATCCAATAAAGTGATGTTCCCAGTCTGCCCATCCTGTCCGGAGGGCTAGGGCGGGGTGGGCTTGCTCCAGGCAGGGCTGTAGCTGTAGAACCGAGCGTTCTACCCATGCCCAATGGTGTTCCCTGGGCCAGCACCTCGTTTCAAGGGCACAGGGCTAGGGATGGGCTCCCCTGAGACCTATTCTGTCCCTTGGGACTGGGAGTAACTTTAGAGCTCGGCCAACCACCTCATTCACACATGGGGAAACCGAGGCTTTGAGCCAGTTGTGTCTCGCCCAAGGCCACACAGCCGGCTAGTCTGACAAGCCTGGTCGGAACCCCGCGTGGACTCTCTAATTTAGCAGGAAAAGGAACACATCTCAGAGTTAGGGACGGTGGGGAAATTGGCAAGGAGCAAGAGGTGTACGTAGATAGCAGAAATCAAAGCGGCAAGTGGCTGCTCCCTTTTAAAAAGTCTGATGTCATCCGGGTAAGGGCTCTAGGGTCCCTGACAGGCTCGCCGGCCTCTTCTGCCCCTCCCCTCCCCACCTGTCTTTGTGGAGGGGGGCGGAGCAGCAGCCACAAAAGCAGCAGCAGAGAGGGGCAGATGCCATTCTCCCAGTATAGGCAACCACTTTGGCCTAAAGCCCAGGAGAGCACATCTGTCATGCCCCAGCAGCCGGAAGCAGAGGAACGGGCTGGTCAAGTACAGACCTTTGGTGGCCACAGCTGCTGGGTGGCAGACAGTGCTAACACAGGCTCTTGAGGACAACCCTGCCCAGAGGCAGAGGGCTGAGCAGCCAGCCTGGATCCTGGATCCTTGCCTCCCAGCCCAAGGTCCTAGGGCTAGAAATGCGAGGTGTTGAGGCACACTGGACAGGCAAGATGTGTCTGCAGGAGTCCCCCCGCCTGGCCATGGGGTCTCTTTCTTCCCCTGGGGAGCGGGTGTCTGAGGGAGGCGTAGCACAAGGGGCCCCGAGAGAAAGGAAGGCAGCAGAGCCCAAGTGAATGGCAGAGGCAGGTTTAATGGTGTCACCTTGTCTTTTTTGTACATTGTTATGAGCCAAACCCAAAAAAAAAAAAAAAAAAAAATGCAAGTAAAAAAAAATGTTATCACACCGCACTTTATACAGACACCGTAAGCAGCAGGCATTCCCGTCTCCACGTGGACAACGCACTTGGAAGCACAGCCCCTCCAGCCACTCCAGGTGTTTCTCCAGCAAGCTCCCGGCTGGGCCCCAAGTGCCCGTGTCTCTGGCCGGGCTAGCACAGCGCAGGCGCAGGGCCAGCTTAAGGCCAACGAGATGCAGCATGCTTTGGCTTTTTTTTTTTTCTTTTTTTTTCCTAGTAAGTGTTAAGATTCCTGCTCTTGAGATTTTGTTTTTTCACCCTTAAATATTACGTACGTACACCAAAAATTACATCGCTGCACTGCGCAACAGCAACCTCTGAGCCTGGAGCTTCACATTATCAAAAGCTTAGAAAACTTGTAAACCTCGGCCGGTCTCCGGGAGGAGTGCCCCGCTGGCCGCCTTTCCCTGGATGGACTTGGTAAGCCAAGGGCTGATGGGGCGCTTCCTTCCCACCCAATGGGCAAGGGTGGCTCTGTCCTGGGAGCTCCACGCCCCTCCAGGTGCATCTTCTGAGAGTGGAGGGGCAGAATCTTCGGGAGCAGCCCCGGCACTCGCCCTGGCTCTGTGCTGCTGCTCCTGCGCCCGCAGGCCCTGAGATGTGGCGGAGCGGGCGAAGCCAGCAAGCCAGCACTGCCGGGTCCCCAGCCGGCCTCGGACAGGAAGAAGGGCAAGGCACCTACTGCCATCTCTCTCCCAGCAGCCCCGGGTCCCCCACTCCACCTCTCCTGGGGTTCCCCTGAACTAAGCCTGCTCCCAGCTGAGAGCACATCCGACAGGCAAAAGGACTCTAGGATCAACGGGCCAGAGTCAGCCGGGAGCCAGTGACAGCAGCTACGACTCCCCGGGGACAGCGCCAATGCTGGGGGCTGGGGGAGTGGCAGTGGGGGGGGTCAGGAACTGGGGAAGCTATGTTGAGCGGAAGAGGTGGAGGCAGACTGGGGGGAATTTCACACTTCATGCAAGGCACACCCACTCATCCTGCCGCTGGCGGGCAGCACACTCGGGCCCAGAAAGCCAGAGTCAGGCCGCAGAGCCTCCGCCTCTGACCCGACAGGGAGGAGAGCCGGGACACTCTGCCTGGGGTGCAGCAGGGTTCAGGCTTCCTTTGCCACGGGGACCCACCTATCCAAAAGATTGCTTTAGAATAGAAACGGCAGCATCTCAAGAAACTTCTTGCACTTCAGCATCAAACTCGCCTTGGGTGGAGGGCGGTGGGGGACTAGCTTTGGGGGAGGGGAAACGGGCAGAGGAGACTCCCGGGAGGTGTGAGTGGACAGCAGCTGGCCTCTCCCGACCGAGTGACTCTGTCCTTGAGGGTGGCGGCTACTTGTCCTCTGTGCTCTCGGGCATGCCCGCCTCCACCAGAGCCGCCCGGAATTGTGTCAGGACCCCCCGAATGCTTTTGATGAAGCCCTTAGAGAGCGGGAAGAGGGGGAAGCCGATGTCGGGGTAGCCGCTCTTCTCCGGCAGGAAGCTCCGGTAGCTCTTTCTCCGCTTCTTTGGTTTGACACTGGGCGGCACGGATGTGGCCGGCGCTGCCTCCGGAGTCTGCTCTGTGTGGTCCCTCCTGGCCGAGGCCGGGCCCTGGGCGCCGCCCTCCGAGTCTGAGCCCTGGGAGGCCTCGCCAGGGGCCAGCCCTCCATCCTCAGGCTCGTCTCGGCCCGAGTCTGAGAGCTCGGCCCCCGCGGGCGGTTCCGGGGAGCTGCTGTCCTTGGGGACCCCGTTGGGCAGTGCCTGGGACTTCTCTAGCAGCGCGTGGGTCTCCAGCCAGGACTCGATGCGGCTCACCAGTCGCCAGCCGCCAGTGCTAAAGTGCTGCCGGATCTCCTGCTCGAAGACCTCGGGGGGCCGTCGCACCAGCTGGGTCATGGACTGCACCACGCGGATCAGCGCCATCTCATTGTAGCAGCGGCTGTTCTCATAGCCCTCCTGCAGGCCCCGGTCGCTGTCGAAGCCCGCCTCATTGTAGTATGGCTCATTCACCAGGATTAGGCCTGGGCGGGGAGTGCAACACCGTCCCTCAGCGGGAAGAAGCCCACCAGGGCAGGCCTGGCCTTGACACCCAGGGACAGCAGAGGCGCAGGCAGGAGCAGGAGGGGCCCCCCATCGCCCCGACACCTGGCCCCCCATTGCCCCAACACCCGGCCCGTCACCCAACCCTCCATCGCCCCGACCACCCGGCCCCCCATCGCCCAGACACCTGGCTCCCCATTGCCCCGACACCCAGCCCTCCCGTCACCCTGCCCTCCATCGGCCCGGCCCTCCATACCTTGGATGGAGATGAGCACCTGGAGAAGGCTGGATTTGCTCGTCCACCTCTCTGTTCCCTGGAATGACACACAGCCCCGTCACACTGTCCCGAAGACCCACCCCTGCCTGCTCTCCCCTAGCTTGGCTGGGGTGCTGGTGCTGCCCTCACCTTTCCAATCCAGGTGCCCAGGAGGCTGACGCACACCTTCCCGTTGTCGTACAGGTTGGGGTTCAGGCGGCCGCTGCACTGGGAGAGGTAGCAAAAGTGGGGGGGCACGGCCGGGTAGATGTTTGGGAGTTGGATGTCAAACAGGTAGAGGCCGTCTTCATAGGGCGTCCGGGTGGGCCCCTTGATCAGGGCGGAGAAGAGGTCCTGCAGGGGAGCGAGGGGAACAGAGGTCAGCAGAGGCTCGGCACACAGGCACGGTGCTCGCTTTCCCAGGAGGCGTCCGAGACCGCCGGCCACAGAGGCTGAACACAGGCCCCTCCGTGCAGACCTACCCAGCATCTTTCGACCCCAGGAGATTTTCCAAACTGGGATTTACATCAGTATTTTTTCCTCATAAACCGTTACTTAAAATTTTATTCCTCAAGACACCTGCTCTGACCCCTAACAAGGTAAGCAACAGTAACAGCAAATCAGATGGAAGAATGTTCAGAATGGGGGCCGTGCACCTGTTCTCCACCGACTACCTCGCTATCTGACGTTTCACATTCACGGCAGAAAACGTCTATCATCCGACTGTCGTGCACGTTGACGGGGAGGGGAGGGGGGAGGAAGGTCTGTGAGAGGGAGCGAGGCTGTTCAGGCCACTGGGGGGTCGGGCGGAGGAACGCAGGAAGCAGGGGTGGCCAGGCCGCGAGGAGGCGGTGGGGGCCGGGGCCGCAGAAGTTGGGTGGAGGCTCAGAAGTCTCTTCCTCCCAAGAGGTCTGTCTGCCACCTCCACAGCCTCTGCCGGGCCCAGGTGGCTCGGCTCACCTGCCTGCAGGCCTGGGAGCCACCGCTGCTGAGGCCCGTCTCCGGGGCCGGTGGAATGGGAAGGTGGAGAGGTGGGCTGTGGGAGGAGTCCATGCGGGGGCCTGGAGCATGGCCAGGTGACAGTGGGCCATCCCCGACCACCATGACCACTCCCCTGTGGGTTCCGTGGTGGTGGCGAAGGGGGGCCCGCTGCTAGTGTATCCTGAGACACACGGGAGGCGCCCGACAGGAGGGGCGCACCTGTGCCGAAGACTGGCTGCCTCCTGCCTAACAAGTTCTGCACAATGACTTGGTCTTTGGAGCCAACCATGCTGGTGAGGAGGGGGTGTACTTGCTTTTGGAGCCCAGAGGGTGGCCTCACAGCCAGAGGAAAGACGGTGAGGATCTGAACTCGAGGGGAAAATGTTGGAAAACCACCAGAATCTTCATCAGGAGTCACTACACAAACCCATCATCATGGAAAGCCATCAGTGTAGGCAGCGTGCTTGGTGAGGGTGAGCCCGCTGCGGCAGAGGGCGCCGTCACACGGGCAGTGTGCTTGGTGAGGGTGAGCCGGCTGCGGCAGAGGGCGCTATCATGTGGGCAGTGTGCTTGGTGAGGGTGAGGGCGCCATCACATGGGCAGTGTGCATGGTGAGGGTGAGGGC